GCAGAAGAGGCTAGCCAGCAGCAGAAGCACCTTCAGCGTGCAGCTCAAGCTCCAGAGGCCCGACGGGCACCTGTTCCACGAGCGCTCGGCGATCTGCCCGACCCAGGTGCTCACCAAGGCCATAGAGGAGGCGGGGGGCAACTGGGAGACCCTGCTGCCGACTCTCTACTGGATTGCGAGCATGATCCAGTCCAAGACTGAGGCTCTCAGCCAGTGGTGCTGGAAGCTGGTGGGCGCAGACACTCTGGCGCCCCACCGTCTAGATGCTCAAGATCAGCACCATCGCATTGCAGGTGACATCCGTGACGCGTGGGACAAGAGGCAAGCGGACGTAGCGTTTGCGCGGCTAAGAGGGATAGGCATCGGTTCGCAGAAGCGCATGATGAGCAAGTGCTTCCCGGCGGTCAAGCTCCTCGATGGCTCCATCACTTCAGCCTGGTCGAGTTCGCAGCCGACGTTCCGATCGCGGACCTCCACAGGCTCATGCAGTCACACTTCGAGAGGGGCGCCTTGATGCCTGAAGTACTCGACCCCAGCTGTGTGCCGGCATTGGCGGACATGGAACGGGCAATGAAGATCACAAAGGATTCGGCGCCAGGGGTCGACGGCCTGATGGGGGAGCTCTTTCGCACCCAGCCGAATACACTGGCAGCAGCATACCACCCACTGGCAGCCAAGTTTGCTTGCACAGGAGTGGAGCCAGCACAGTGGGAAGGAGGCTTCTACAGACACCACCACAAGAAGAAGCAGGCCGAGGAGTGCGGCAACCGCAGGTGTTTCGCGGTCACGGCCATGGTGGGCAAAAGAGTGAGGCACTTCTACAGGGCAAAGATGGCCACGTACATCCCACAGGCCGTCGGGGACCGACAATTTGGAGGAGTCAGGCGCAGAGGCACACAGCATGCGTCCGTGGTCGCCAGGATGCTGCAGTCGGCGGCGACCGCCAACATGCTGACCTTCGCGGCCATCTTCATGGACGTCAAGAACGCCTTCTACTCCATGGTCAGGGAGCTGGTGCTACGCACGCCCATGGCCAAGACAGACAAGGACGCGATCGCCGAGTCCACGGCTGTCCCGACCACGGCCTTTGAGATCCTGAAGAAGAAGCTCGAGGAGGAGATGCCGCTGCTCCACCGAACGGAGGCCAGTGAGCACCTGAAGGCACTGGTCGAGGAGCAGTATACGGCCTCTTGGTTCGTCTGCGAGAGCTCGGACCACGTCGCCCTTGGCACCAAGTCCTCGATCCCAGGCCAACCTCTCGCCGACCAGATCTACGAGATCGCCATGGCAGAGGCCATCAGGGTTTCGGAGGCGAGAATCGAGGAGGAGGGCTACGGCATCTTCGTCACAGGAGCCAACGTACGCTCGCTGGCGCAGCAGTTCGACAGCGACCTGGACTTCGAGAAGATACCGGGCCACAGCGTGGCCTTTGCGGACGACGGCGCCTTCTTCTTCATCGGCAAGGCTGACGAGGCGCTGGACGCGGTGGCAGCCATAGCAGGCATCGTGCTGGACACGTTCGCGGAGTTCGGCCTCGTCCTCAACCTGGATCCTGGCAAATCGGAAGTGCTCTTTGCATTTGCAGGCCAAGGGGCCAAGGGTGCGAGGATAACCTCGTGGCATGAGTGCCATGGCAGGGTCAAGCTCAGGTCGAAACACTACGAGGGGGCCACCATCCATGCAGTGCACAACCACGTAGCGCTGGGGACGGTCATCGACGACCACGGTGCGGTGTACCCCGAGCTCTACCGTCGCTCAGCCACTACAACAGCCTCTCTCAGGAAGCTGAGAGAGCAAGTCTTCCGCAGCCACCAGCTCGACCTGTCCACCAAGATGGTCTCCTGGTTTGCTCGTCAAGGTGCTTCTCGCAAGGCAGCTGGCCAGGGCTCGCGAGAGCGGAGGCCAAGTACCACCGCGCCATGGTCATGGCCGTCTACAGGGCAGCGGTGGGGAAGAAGTTCGCCACGAACGAGGACGGCGAGCTGGATCTCGACGCCTGCCCCGAGACAGTGGACGAGGCGCTGCTCGTCAAGTTGGGAGGGGCCCGCCCTGAGGACCTGCTGAGAGTAGCGAGGCTGAGGCTGTTCGGCGAGCTACTGCAATCAGGACCACCCCTCGCCTTTGCGACGATGGCCCAGCTCCTCCTGCGGCCTCAGCACGCCAAGAGGCAGTCCTGGCCGCAGATGCTGATTGGAGACCTCCGCTGGCTCCAAGGCTACTCGGCGGACTTGCAGGACCTCCTGGGCCCCAGTGGCGAGCTGCGTCCATGGGAGCTGATGATTCTACGCTCGCACACCTCGTGGAAGTACAGGCTCAACGACACGCTCAGGGCAGCTGCGGCGCAGCTAAGCAGAGTACACGCGGCGCGCATGGCAGAGAATCGTTTCTTCGCCATAGTACAGCCAGCAGGAGTGCCATATTCCACACGAGAGGGCAGCCCGTTCGGGCCCCCACATGCGGACGAAGCAGACACAGCGACGGCACGACAATGGACATGCCCGTGGTGCCAGAGGACGTTCAGGCGCCAAAGAGGGCTCAGAGTCCATATGTCACAGCAGCACTGGACAATGGTCAGTCTGGGGCGTACCTGGACGGGATCAGCAAGACAGTGCCAAGGATGCCTGACGCTGTTCGACCAGACCCACCACCTCACCGAGCACCTGGCGATCGCATCGCCCGCCTGTCTCGTCGCGACCATCGAGGCGGGAGAGGCGCCCAGTACCGAGGGGGCGAGATGCGCAAGGAGCTCCCGCGAGGACTGCTGAGGAAGAGAGTGAACAGACCCGCCATCAAGGCAGCGGGGCCCATGCCAGACGTAGCATTCCTCAACCAGGACGATGCCAAGTCAGTCCTGCTCGAGTCAGTCTACGTGCTCGACGACGGCGCCAGGGCCAAGCTGCAGGAAGGTTCAGAAGGGCAAGAACAGGAGAAGCCGAAGATTCAGCACGCCGAGAGGTACGACCTGAACCAGTTCCGCACCGACAAGTTCAGCGGGGTGACCACAGAGGTGATCATCCCGTGGAGAATACAAAGAGCAGAGATCTTTGTGCTCAACCTTTTCTGCGGACACAGGCGCAAGGACGACGTGCAGCATGCGTTCGAGTCAGCGCCCAAGTTCGAGGTGATTTCAGAGAAGGTGCGCATCATGGTCCTCAGCATCGACGTGGCGATCGACGCGCAGCGCTGCGACCTCATGCGCCAGGACAGCCTGGTGGTATTCCACGAAGGGATCCTGAAGTGGCAGATCGCGATGTCGGGAGGAGGACCGCCGTGCGAGACATGGAGTGCAGCGAGGTGGTCGGAGCAGCCAGGGCCGCCGACGCTCAGATCTCACGACCAGATCTGGGCAGTGGCCCACACTGCGCCGCAGCAGAGGGTCCAGCTCGCCGTGGGGAACGCCCTGATGCAGTCCATGGTGCTCCTCCTCGCGGCGCACCTGGTGGCGGGCGCGGCAGCGTGGTCGGAGCACCCGATCCCGTGCAGCTGGCGGCTGGCAGCCGTCACATCGTGGACGTGGGAGCCGTGGCTCGCGCTGCAGTCGGCGCCGTGCACCGCGACCACCGACTTCGACCAGTGCGAGCACGGCCAGCTGAGCAGGGCCCCGACCAGGCTTTTCGGGCTCCGCATGGCGGGGCTGCACCGCCGCCTGGTTGCGACGCCCGGGGGAGGAAAATGCTCCCACGGGCGTGAGGCCCACGCCACATTGCTAGGGCGCGAGGATGGATCCAGGGCCTTCCGGACTGCGCGGAAGAAGGTCTACCCCCCTGGCCTCTGCCGCTGCATCGCGGAGAGCATTCTGGAGGCGCTCGAATCGGCTCTGGATGAAGCGCTCCCAGAGGTTCCTAGTGATGATTCCCTGTCTCACCACCTCCTCGTGCAGGGCCTGGCGGATTTTTATTTCTCAGAGATCCCGGAGGTTGAGGACGGGGCCAGGGAGTGGGCCCCGGACTTTGCGAGGGGGAAGGGCCGCAGCAGGCCTGACCCAGAGAGGGGCCGCTTTGAGGCCCCGGCCACTCCCGCCCAGGTCCCCCCGGGCCCCTCCCAGGATCCTGAAGACAGCCAAGGCCCCGCAGAGGAGGAGGCATACGCTGCTAAGGTGATCGGAGTCTCCCCCCATCCTCAGCCCCCCGTCCCCGCCTCCTCCTCCGCCTCTTCCTCTCCGCCCCCCTCTGACCGACACCCAGCGGCGCAGGATAACCGATAATAAGGCCAGGGCCCAGCGGATACGGCAAGAATGCCGTAGGCCGTGGGCCTTCAGGGGCCTCGACCTGCGACTCGCTTGGGGAGCCCCAGAGGGCTGCCCCATGCAGGTGAGCCCCTGCGGGGCTCGGGCTGGCTTGCCAAGGGGCGGGTGGGCCTGGGCCCAACAAATCTTCGGAAAGGGCCTGACAAGGGATCGGGCCCACCACACCCTCCACCTGGCTACAGGCCAGGTCCGAGCCGGCCCACTATGAGGGCCACTGCACGTCGGCATCGACAAGACGCAGAGTTCCACCACCACCACCTCCTCCTCTTCCTCCTCCCCTCCTCCCCCTCTCCCCCCCCCCCCTCCTCCTCCTCTCCTCCTCCTCCTCCTCCTCCTCCTCCTCCTCCTCCTCCTCCTCCTCCTCCTCTCCCCTCCTCCTCCTCTCCTCCTCCTCCTCCTCCTCCTCTCCTCCTCCTCCTCCTCCCTCCTCCTCCTCCTCCTCCTCCTCCTCCTCCTCCTCCTCCTCCTCCTCCTCCTCCTCCTCCTCCTCCTCCTCCTCCTCCTCCTCCTCCTCCTCTCCTCCTCCTCCTCCTCTCCTCCTCCTCCTCCTCCTCTCCTCCTCCTCTCTCTCCTCCTCCTCCTCCTCCTCCTCCTCCTCCTCCTCCTCCTCCTCCTCCTCCTCCTCCTCCTCCTCTTTCGTAGCCAGTTTGGCTCAGGCTGCGTTCCCCCGCTTTCTCTGCAGCCTTTTCGCCCATGGCTGGGGGCGCTTCGCTGGCGGCCTGGAGGCGGCGGCGCCAGGGAGGGCTGGAGCGGCATGGCTGCGGGACGCGCCCTGGCAAGGCCGCCTTCGGGGGGGCCGCTGCGGGGCGCCGCGGCAGCGCGGGCTGCCGCTGACAACCTGGTCAAGCGTCTTTCGAAGGAACTCGAGGAGGCGCGGAAGGAGTGCCAGCTCCTGCAGGACGCTTTCGCGTCGGCCATCGCGGACGGGGACATCGGCGACAGGGTCCTGGCGCTGGTCCCCGCGCTGAGCGACCTGGTCAATGGCCGCAGGCCCTTGGGTTTGCGCCGACTGCGGAGGAACGTGGCGCTCCACGCGGTGGCAGAGGACATCGACAGCATCGCCACGGCTGGCGGGCCGTCCTTGAGGCGTGCGGCCAAAGGGGCCAGGCTGGACAACCTGGTGGCGTTCAGGGAGCCTCCCGTGGAGTGCATCGTCGAGGCGTGCTGCGCCGAGGCGCCTGTGAAATCCGCGGTTGGGCCGACGGCTTGGAACCTTTTCCGCCCCTGGGTTCGTGCCTGGTGCTTTTGCCCACGGCGTCGTGTGGCAGTCCACCGATGAGCAGGTGGGCGCGCTGCTGCAGGCGCTGGCTGCGGCTGCTCCCGTGTGCGGGGCCCACCCCCCCGACACGGTGCACGCTGAGGGTGGGGGCGCGCCTGCTGACCTGCAGCCCGTAGCGCTGCTGAAGCAGCAGGAGATGCCACCTGTGCCGCTGGCCGCGGCGCCGAGCCTGGACGGGTCCGTTTGCGCCGACGGCGAGGTGGAGGCCGAGCTTCCTCATGTAGATGGAACGCATGAAGGTTCGGCCGTCTTCGAGGTCGACGACGGCTTCGCAGATTCTTTCGTCTTCGACGGTCGGGACTGCGAGAGCAGTGCTGAGCTCGAGGATGAGGCAGAGGACGAGCGGTTGCTCCGGGACCTCGAGCAGTTCCTAGATGACCAGGCCGAGCACTACGAGTTGCTGGAGGATGCTGGGGCGGAGCAGCATGTCCTCGATGCTCAGCGGGCGGCCGTGGAGGAAACCTCTGCGGCCCTGGAGGCGGCTGTGCGTGGCGCGGCTGCGCGGCCAGGCTGAGCTGGCGGCGGCCCTCGCCCCCCGTCCTCCTCCCTCCTCCCCCCCTCGGCGGCGCCCCGAGCGTCGGCGCGGACGGAGGCGGGCTCTTCTCTCTTTCTCTTCTCTCTCTCCCTTTATGGGCAGTGCAACCTCCTCCTCCTCCTCCTCCTCCTCCTCCTCCTCCTCCTCTTCCTCCTTTTCCTCCTCCTCTTCCCCCTCCCGCTCCTCCTCCTCCTCCGCCTCCTCCCCTACCTCCTCCTCGGGTCGCCTGCGGCCCCGGGGGGAACCGTGCACCTGAGATCCTCCCAGGAACATCGGGCGCCTCGAGAAAGTCGAGACTCGGGGCTCAAGAGACGGGGGTCAACGCAAATGGGGGTCAGCCAGAGCGCCAGATATTACAGGATCCTGAGGGGCCAGGGCTGCGCTGACCTGTGTTTGGGTGCAGCGTCCTGCAGGATCCTGCAGGATCCTGCAGGACCCTGCAAGGCCTGACTGACCCGACTCTGGGTTGACCTGGGTCAGAAGATCCTCGAGAGACGGAGGTTTTTCGTAGTTTTCGGCCTCTCGGGGCCCTCGCCAGGCCCGGGCCACGGGACCGTCCGAAAACGACTCGGGATGAAAAGCCGGTGGCGCCAGGGAAGCGGTCAGGAGGTCCTGGGCCCGTGCTTCGAAAAAATCGAGACGGAGGTTTTTCATTGTTTTCGGCGTCTCGGGGCCCTCGCCAGGCCTCGGGACCGTCCAAAAACGACTCGGGATGAAAATCCGGTCCGAGGGAAGCAGTCGGGATGGGGGGGGGCCGTGCTTCGAAAAAATCGGCATGTCGGATGCCTGGGTTGGCGCTGCAATTCGCGCTGGGCGTTTTCGCCCAAATGTCAGGCCGCGGGGCCTTGCCGGATCGATGCGGCTCGAGGAAGGACGCAGAAAGACGATGGAGTCCGGGGCTCCTGTCGTGTTTTTCCACGATGTGACGTTTTTTCCCAATGTCCGATCTCGGGGTCATCAGTGCTGGCTGTGCCCGAAGTCGTGCTTGCGCTTGCTTCAGCGCGCTCGGCCGTCGCCCGCATCAGCGCATCAGTGTCATCGGTGCTGGCTATTCAGTCGACCCGCGCAGTAAGGAGGAACGGCTTTCCAAGGCTACCCTTGCATCCTTCCCTTTGGGCCCATCGTTGGCCGCTTTCGCTGGTCGCGCCCCGCTCGCAGAGTGTCGGCATGACCTTGCAAGGCCCTTGCTTTCTTATCGTGGGTCCTTATCATCGAAGACGCCTACGGCGAATCACCACCAGCTCCTGCTTTCTAGAATCGCCCATGTGGCCGAGCGTTCTGGCAAAAACTCTGCCAAGCTATCGGACCATGTGTTCCCCCAGCCGTTGTGGAAACCCTTTGGGGAACACTCGGGGGAGGATGGCGGGGGAGATCAGGAGGAGGAGGAGGAGGATGAGGAGGAGGTGGATGAGGAAGGGTGTTCCCCCAGCCGTTGTGGAAACCCTTTGGGGAACACTCGGGGGAGGATGGCGGGGAAGATCAGGAGGAGGAGGAGGAGGAGGAGGAGGAGGAGGAGGAGGAGGAGGAGGAGGTGGATGAGGAAGGAGGAGGAGGAGGAAGGAAAAGGAGGAGGAGGAGGAGGAGCAGGAGGAGGAGGAGGATGAGGAGGAGGAGGGGGCATCGTTGGAGCCTCTGGGGGCACTGTTGGGGCCTCCTGGGAGCTTCTTGGGAGCCTCTTGGAAGCATCTTGGGGGCCTCCTTGGGCCTCTTGGGGGCCTTTGGGGTCTTCTCGAGGGCCTCTTTGGCCGTCTAGGTGGGCTCCTCGCCCGTCTGACGCCGTTGGAAGCTGTCTTGGGGGCCTCTCTGGGCCGACTTGGGGCCCTCTTGGGGTGCTCTGGGGCCGTCTTGGAGGCCATCCTGGGCGTCTTAGAGGCCCCTTGGGCCGTCTTGGGGCCGTCTTGGGGCCTCTTGGGCCGTTCTGGGGCCATCCTGGAGGCCGTAAGGGTCATCTTGAGACGATCTTGGGGCCTCTGGGGTCGTGTATGGCCGTCGGCAAACCGAAAATAAGGAAAGACAAAACAACCTTAAAAAACTTAAGGAAAATCAGCGATTTTTGCCTTCTCGGGCCTTCCTGGAGGACCTTAGGGAGGCCTCTTGCCTCTTGGGGGCCTTTTGGGCCGTCTTGGAGGCTTATTGGGTCGACTTGGGGGCATCTTGGACCCTCCCGGGCCGTCGTGGAGGCCGTCTTGGACCATGTTGGGCGAACTTGGAGGCCATCTCGGGCCATCTGAACCGTCTTGGAGGCCGTCTAGAGCCCTCTTGGAGCGGGAAAGGCATTGACCCGAAGATTTTTTTGTGGACGTTGAGGTCGTTTCCGGGCCTTGTACGCCCTTCCCGGTTTCCGTCGGGCTGGGCCGGAGCCCCCAGGGGGAGTTCTTTCGGAAAAGAACCAAAACCTAAAACGATAGCGTCTAGCACGCCGGGCACCCCTGTGGCAAGCCAACAGGGGGCGGCGCATCCAATGGCCTTCGGCCCATTCCGCCACCGTGCCTTTTGAAGCCTATTTGATGTTCGTTGGAGTGGGAGGCTTCTCAGGGGCCTCTTGGAGGCAGTTTCGGCGTCTCTTGGGGGCCGTTTTGGGGGCCTCTGGGGGTCTCTTTTGGGTCTCTTCAAGGCCACCTGGGGCCACCTTGGGAGCGTCTTGGGGGCCTCTTGGGGCTTCCTGGGTGCCTTTTGGGGCCTCCTGTTGGCCTCTGAGGGCGGAAGGCCAAGATTTTCAGCTCTTGTTCTCTCGTTTGGGTCCCTTCGGGGGCGGTCTTGGGGCCCTATTGGGCCGTTTTGGGTGCCTCTTGGGCTGTCTTGGGACCCTCTTGGGCCGTCTTGGGGCGGTTTTGGAGGCCTCTTGGGCCGTCTTGGGGCGGTCTTGGGGGCTTCTAGGGCCGTCTGGGAGCGTCGGGGAGCCGAAATGGGGAGAACGCCCAAATCCTACAAAGCCACAGGAACATCAATCACTTTGGCCTCTTGGAGCCCTCTTGGGATGCCTCTTGGAGTCCTATATGGGCGTCTCGGAGGCCTCTTGGGCCGTCTGGGGGCCATCTTGAGCGTCTTGGAGCGATCGTTCGGCGACTCGGGGCCCTCTTGGACCGTCTTGGGGTCCTCTGGGAGCCCTCTTTGCCCGTCTTAGGGCCCTTTTGGGCCCGAACAAGTCACGCGACAAGACGCGACAAGCCTCAGGGAACCGCGGGAAGCCCACGAAGATTTTGACGAGAATTTGAGCTCCTTGCATTTAAAAACTCCTCAGGACTACGGACTGAGGCTCAGGGGATTGGGCAAAGGACCTGAGGACACGCCCACTCCGTGCCCAGCCACACGGTGGCGGATACGGGTTGACTGTATCGTCATCAGTGCTGGCTGTTCCTGAAGTCGTGCTTGCGCTTACCTCAGTGTTCATTAGCCTTCGCTGTCCCTGCGCGTCGCGTGTGGAGAGCGGCGATCTGAATTCTAGCAGTCCCTCGATGCACGCTCTCCATCGAAGAAGAGACAGCGGCGTACAATCAGGGCGCTGGAGTCATTTATCGGCGGCGAGCGAGGAGGGAACTTCGAGGTTCGAGGTTCGAGGTTCAAGGCGTTTTTTCATAGTTTTCGGCCTCTGGGGCCGTTTTCGGGCCCCGGGACCGCCGAAACTCGATCCAGGGTGAAAAGCCGGGTCGGATGGACCCAGGGACCCATGTTGACCGATATTCGGCGGCGCGCCCAGGGGGGAACTGAGAAGGAAAAGGCATTCTCAGAAGGCGGCTGGACTTCTCAGAAGCCCTCGCGCCTTCCGAGAAGTATTCGATTTCTTCTTCGGGGGAGGCGTAGACAACTTCTCAGAATGCCGGGGGACTTACGAGCCTTTGGGGAAGCCCACCCCTTCTCACTTCCCCCCCGGCTCGCCGCCGAATTTGGGCCTCCCATCGGCGTCACCTCGGCGTCAGCCCAACATATTCATACTATATGTGCGTCGCCCCCCAGGGGCGACGCGCGCACCGAGAAATCTTCTAGTATATGCGTCGTGGCGGGCGCTTTCTGGCCACACCGCTGGGGAAACGATATACTAAAAGATGGTTATACTATGTGTTCGGGTCGGACGCGCGCCTCCAAGGTGGACATCTAGTACTGGTACGTCTCTGCGCGTCCCATTACCCCAACATACTCCTACTATGGGAGCGTCTCCCCCCCCATGGGGGCGACGCGCGCGCCCAGAAATCTTGTGGTGTATGGTCGGTGGCTGGCGCCCTCCGACCGTACCCTTCGGGTCGGACGCACGCCTCCGAGGAGGACGCACAGTATTAGGATGTCCTACGGCAGGTTCGTGCGGCGATGGCGCGCCGGCGACGCCAGCGAAGGCGTTCAAGGCTGAATTCTGCGACGCGGAAGCACCGAGGGACACGGCGACGTCACTGGATCCGGCGGAGTTCAACCTTGAGCAATCGGGGCCGCGATCGATTCAAAGTTGAGCGATCGGCGCGGTGTCAACAACCTCTGCGCGCGCCGACGCCGCACGAACCTGCCCTAGTGCGTCCCATCCGAACTGAGCGACAGAAGAACACGGGGTCGTCTTCACCGACATTGGCGCGTAAGCTGCCCGTGTAAGGTCGCGCGTGAGCGCCCTCGCTTCCGACGTGGCGTGCCGCGCTGGCGGCCCGCGTAAACCACTGCGTAATGTCGCTATGCCATCTCGCGTAAGACCCGTTTCTTCTCGTCGCCCCAACGTGGTCCGAGTAGATGGGGTCGGAGGATCGCGCCGCGTCGCCGATGCATCGGCGATGCAGCTCGATGTCGATCCTGATGTTCTCCACGCCGACGGCGCCAATGCATTGCCGACGTCGCCGAAAACGGCGTACATCTGAGAAGAAAAGCTGCGAAAGCTGCGTGAACACACTTTCGGGGCTCCGCGCGGATTTCTTGGATCTGCGCTGGGGCCCCTTCCTGTGGTGCGCTCCGCGCGCCAGGGGCGGCAC